TTATGGTGGGCTGGGGTCCAAGAGGGGAGCTCATGGGTTTCTGAAGGCTGGGGTTTGGATTCAGGGTGACGCTTGGGATCTAGGGAACACAGAGGGTTAGTGTCCTTATCCCCTGCCCTCATTCCATTCATCCCACCCTTTTTGGGAGCCTGCTCTGTGCCTGGCTGTTTGCGGGGTTGCTTTTCATACATAGGGAGGGTCTGGGTCAGGTCGTGATTGGGGTTTGCAGTTAGGAGTCAGATTGAGGCTCAGGACCCCCCTCCAGCTCCCCTCGCCCCAGAGTGGCTGTGCCCAGGAGAATGTGGTGGGGGGTGGGCACAGGAGGGAGAAGTTGGGCCTGGCACGGCACCCACCCCGCCAGATGGCCCCGGCACTCACGCAGGCTCCTCCCCAGAAGGGGACACCGCCTTCGATGAAGAGCGTCCCCACGTGGCCGCGGCGGACCATGAGCAGCACGCTGCCAAAGCCCAGGTGGATGAGACCGATGAGGATCTGGACCGTCTGTGGGAAGCGGGCGGCGGCTTAGCCAGGTGGAAGGCGCGGGCTGGACACCGCCCCCTGCCTGCTGCGGAGGAGAGCGTGGCAGGGCCCTGCGCCCCACGCAGGGAGCCGTCAGCGACTAGGAATAAACTCAGATTCCGTTCTTTTGAGGAGATATCATTAAAATCGTAAAAGACAATTTTAAGAAAGAAAACCAGCCCCCCACAGCCTTTGTGATCCCCTCTTCCGTTTCCATGTTACCATGAGCTTGCTTTTTGCAGGGACTCATGCGTCTCAAGCATCCTCAGTGTCCCTACCTGGTTTTCTCAGCCCTCATGTCAATGGCTTGAAATCCCTACACTGAATGCCTCTCCTTTTCCTTCCTCACCCCACTGCATCCTGCACAGATAGCTCCTTGAGCGTCTTTCTCGAGTGTCCGTCATTGGTCCATCCCCACCACGTGCTGGAACTGCCTCCTACCAGCTGAAATCTGGACTTGGGTTTTATTTTAATTAATTAATTAATTAAAA